GAGATCTGTTTTCCAGCCTGAGTCTATTTAATTTATTGTTTTGGTTGTGTGATTTAATCATTTTTTTATAATTTAATTTATTTGTTTATTATATATTTGATATTATTATTATGATTTGAAATGTTGAATGTTCAATAAAAAAGTTATGTTAGAAAGGATGTACTTGAATTATATTATATATTATCATTATGTCAGTGGTCTTAAAATGGCCTTACAACGGTGCCGACAATATTATCGTTTATCGCAACAATTTCCGGGAAAATGTATCGTCCAACAAAAATTCATTATCCTGACAGGCCTAAGCTAGGCTAAAAACATCATAGATACAGCAGCCAACAAATAAACACACATAGTTGAAGCCAAATGAAGTTTCTCGTAACTCAGGTCAGACTAAAACAACAAAGAGCCTTAGGGGAATCATGCTTTAGCAGGGTGGATGCTTCTATCATATAACCTCAACCATCAATTTCTTTCTATAGGGAGACTCAGGTGGACCAATGATGATCAAAAAGGGTTCAGTCTGGGTCCAGAGTGGGGTTGTGAGTTTTGGACAAGGCTGTGCCTTGCCAAATTATCCAGGAGTTTTACGCCCGTGTGTCCAACTACGAAGACTGGATCAAAAATCACACTGGCTCTAGCCAACCAGGCTTTGTTGACTACATGTCCTCAGAAAGTTGATAGCGACTTGGACTTTGTCTGTCCCACCGCCTATCCCACCACCCATCACCCCTATCCCACCACCCATCACCCCTATCCCACCACCCATCACCCCTATCCCACCACCCATCACCCCCACACCACCGAGGACGGCAGTGTGTTTGGCAGTGGTGAGAGAGTGATCTCCTCACTCGGTCTTCTCCTTATGTTCTCTCTATGCGCTGGTCGGAGGCATATAAACATGAAGATGTTGAAGTAGACAAAGTTTATGGGTTTCTGTGTTCCAAATGGCTCATTCACTTGATTTGATATGACGCCCAAATTGTTCGCAAATAGACAATATGATTTAAAGATATATAACTGAAATGTTTTAAATTAGCGATAACCCTTCTTGTGATTTAAAATAATATAATTTAATTAAAATTGATTGCCTTTTCACCTTTCATTTGTTCCTTTAATCAAAGTGTTAAACTTATCTTGATTCCATTTCTGGTGGGAAAGTCAATCATTTTGCAGATGACTGGATTAAGTTTTTCAACGATTTTGCATTGTCTTGTAAAGATTGTTTTTCCAGACATGACGGGATAAAAAAACTCAAATAAATAATTATCTTTTGTGTTATACATTTTTTTTTCTTTTTGGGTCAGCAGGCCTATGAATAAGGTGACTAGTTTGGGTTGATGAGAGCCTTGAGAATGAACCAAAACAGTAAAGTTTGGGATACCAAAACAGTGCGCTGAAAGACACTAAAACGACACTAAAACGCTAGTGCTAACTCTTATAGGTTCATTCCTGTATTGTATTATGTGTGTGTTTATTGTAGTTTTGGTCTAGTTATGTTCAAATGACCTTAATGTAGTTTTCAAAGTTTGCAAAGTTGCAATAATTGTTGACTTAACCTAAAGTTTAAGTAACATAACGTAATTTACAAACGTTGTGTTTAAACTGGGCTGAACACATAGATACAATCCACCGGATTAACCTAACCCTAACCCTAATCTAAAGTTTAAAGGTGGGTAGGTAATTTTTGAGAAACCAGCTCGAGGTGCGCTAGAATTTCAAAATACACAGCCGGAAAAAATCTGCCACTTCCTTCCAGAGCCCCTCCTCCAACACACACGAACGCGCACATGACCAATGAGGGCACGAGATAAGTTTTGTGCCCAGATGGAAGGCTGACAGGCAGGTAGGCCATCCAGTTACTTTAGCCGGCTCAGATGATTGGTCGTGCTTTTTTACAGTACTACGACTTCCACAGATCACGTTTATTAATGGATTTTTTGGTCCAAAGCACTTCAGATATTCATTGCTATCGGGATGTTAAGAGCATTCCATGGAATATAACAAAAAGTGTATCTCGAGCCGGTTTCTCAAACTTACCGACCCCACCTTTAAGTAACATAACTGCCAGACTTTGTGCTAAGCTAGGCTGAACACATACATCCAACAAATTAACGTAACCCTAACCGAACATCACCTTAAGGTTAAGTCACATAATGTAACTTCAAGACTTTGTGCTAAGCTAGGCTAAACACATAGATACATCCACCAAATGGGTACAGAGATGTCATTAGACCAATTTAAAAAAAAAAAAAAAAAATGTACTGTGGCTCAAAACTAATATCTGCCAAGAGCTCCGGAATAAGATAAGATGGACCTTTATTGATCAACCAAAGGGATATTATAACCAGGGGTGCACATAACTTGTTTGCCCTGGTTCTCAAAGGAGCACCTGGAGATGTTGCTTGGTGCTCATCCTTAAAATGAAATAAACCGTAACTTTTGAGGGGTCTTGACTTTATTTGCCAGACACACGGCACTGAACACACATGCAGAGGTGAACACAGAACACACATACAGAGGTGAACACAGAACACACATGCAGTGGTGAACACAAGACAACATTAGCACGACCAGTAATCCTACAAGCTGTCATCACTACCCTCCTGACTGTTCTCCTCACTGTCTTCCTCTCTGTCAGACATGGTAGCTGATGATATGCCTACTTCTTTCTCTCTGGTTGAGTCTGCGATTAGCTGCTTGCATCCACAAGTCAACAGCTAGTTTTGGGTCGAAAGTCTCTGTTGTCATCTTAGACAAGTGGATGTAATCAAATAAGTATGTGAACATAACCAATAGCCTACCATAGCCAATAACAAATTAATGTAACTTATTTTATTTGTGTTGTTCATTCATATCTTATTTTACCTTAACATTTATTTATGCATTTTTTTTTATCTCTCCAGTTTTAAAGGATATGTTTGGTTACTGTCTTACAGAGATGGGGACTCGAGTTTGTGACTCGGACTCGAGTCGCACTTAAGTCGCACACACAGAGACTTCAGACTTGACTTGGACTCCTGCTCAAAAGACTTCGGACTCGACTTGGACTCGTGTTTTGGGACTCGTGAACAATCATTTTGTTTTCTATTTTTGGCGTATTAAAGGTGGGGTAGGTACATTTGAGAAACTGGCTCGAGATCGCTAGAATTTGAAAATACACAACCGGAGAAAATCTGCCACTTCCTCACAGAGCCCCTCCTCCAACACACACGAACGCGCACATGACCAATGAGGGGCACGAGATAAGTTTGTGCCCTGATGGAGGCTGACAGGCAGGTAGGCCATCCAGTTACTTTGGCCGGGCCGGCTATCGGGATGTTAAGAGCATTCCATGGAATATAACAAAAAGTGTATCTCGAGCCGGTTTCTCAAACTTACCTACCCCACCTTTAACATTAACATTAACATCATGGTAACACCATGGCGACAGGCCGCACACCTGCAGCTGTACCGCTTGTAATTAGGTTCAACTATAAAAACTTCGAGCAAAACGCCGGCGGCGCACCAACAAAGGAGCGCACACTGCAAAGTCTGCAATATTAAAATCGAGGGATGCTGGTGCAACAACGTCAAATCAGGCACTTGAAAACTCACTCGGAGAGGTCAGTCACATTAACGCATATGGATGGTTAGCAAACATGTTTAGCTCAGCATCAGCTATGTAATGTTAACTTAACTTGCTACTAGCTTTGTAACTGAATATTTGAAAAGCTGAGTGAATGTTTGCTTGTCACACTTGTTTGCATTGAGTGGCGTTGACATCCAACTCTTGACATGACATAAAAAAGGTCGGTAACGTTAATCATTACGTTCCGCTGCCACCATCTACTGGCTAACGTTAAACGTAGAAAAATACATAGTTACATACATAAATACATCTGTTGGTTTATAGGCAGGTTACAGGTTTATTGTTGACCACGTAACGTTAATGTTACAGGTTTATCAGGTTACCATTACACTGGGTTTGAGTGAGAGGATAGAGGAATATGTTTATTTATAGTAGACTTAAAAGATGTCATTAGAGACCCAGTGTAATTAAACAATACGGCTGCAGAGGTCAAATTTTAACATTTTTGTCCACTGGCCAAATGGCTAGCCTAGTGAATGTTGAAATGTTACCAGCCACTCAATAGATTGCCATTGTTATTTTTGGCTGGTGCGTGCAACATACAGTACCAGCCACTTGCATGATTTACCAGCATTTGGCTGGTAAATGGTGTTAATGGTAGATATCTCTTTTGGAACAGGTCATGTTTTAATATCACCAGTTCAGTATATTTCAGATAATATTGCAAGCAATAGTTTTTTAGTTGCAAATGGCACAGTACTTTTAACACAGTTTCCCTGCGGGGGAATAATAAAGTATTTGTGATACTGATTTCTGATTCTGAAGTGTTTTGCTTATAAGTTGTTTGCATTAGCTAAAGTGTGATGTTTTTCCTCATATGCATGCAATAGCCTGTTTAAAGTGATCATATAACAAACAACTAATCAGTACTGATACTGTATGCTAATAGATATAGGAGTGATAATAATACAGTAAATGCTTTGAATTTCTTAGATATAGCTGTGCAGTATTCTTAACAGACTGGATAGCAGCAGACAATAGAAGGCTTATTACAACCAGAAGAGACATGAGACTTTTATTTTTTAGAGACTTGAGACTGACTTGGACTCGTGACCAAAGACTTGAGACTTGATCAAGTCTCACCCCACAAAGACTTGAGACTTGACTTGGACTCGTGACCAAAGACTTGAGACTTGACTCGGACTTGCAAAAAAAGACTTGTGAACATCTCTGCTGTCTTATACATTGGAATTATTTGAAACCTGTTTATCCCAATAATTATAAAGGAGTGCCTTGGAAATATGTGTTTACATAAATTGTGACCAAACCGTTTGAACTTAGACTAAGAGTCCTTACCTCACTGAGCTGTAGTTAACTCATCAGCCTCTCAGTCTGACTGGAGAGGACTCTCCCTCCACATTATTGTAGGAAACATCTTCTTCTTTATATCCGTTAGAGCAGCTAGCACGGCACCATATTCTAATAACAACAGCGCTGGTACCGGTGCACTCTCCCTCTCTCCCTCGCATTTTGGCTGTGAGCTGCGGGCGCCAGATAAGCCAACATCCCCCATTTTCATCACTTACAGCGTCCATCGTACAGGGCAAATGAAACGTGTAACCGGGGTGAAAAGGGTGTTACATTTACTTAATTATGAATATTGTTACATCAAGGCCGAAAATTAGGATGAGCCCCAACGGTCAAAATGTTTTTTTTCCCTCCCAAAACTGCCAGCGCAGCGACTCCACAGATCTGGCGCCCTAGGCGAACATCTAGCCAGTGCTACGGGCCGGCCCTGAGTTCATATCATGGTTCATATGCAACTCGCAAATACCTTTCTTTCTCTCTCTTCTCTCTCTCTCTTCTCTCTCTCTCATCTCTCCTCTATTTTCTCTTCTCCCTTCTCTCTCTCCCTCTCTCAATGTTGGTACGCAAATGCGCTTTGTTTCAAATGAACCGGTGCTCTTTTTTTGGCGCCAGTTTTTGGCACCAGTTATGTGCAGCCCTGATTATAACATTATAAAAAAACATAAAGTCCTTTGTACAAGATGAACTCCACTCATAAGTCGACTGTTCAAACCTGAAAAACTGGAAGCTGTTATTTTTCTGCTCTGTCATTCTCCATAGCGCTCATCAGATAGGATTACTCATGGTAGCACACACACATATATTTATGTTATCCTGGCAATGAAGTTAAACTCTCCCCTGGCCTGCAGTATCAATGGTGTGAAAAATAGCATAGACTAAGTGTGTGTGAACACTCATTAGGTGTGTGTTTTTGTGTGTGTGTGTGAATCTGGCCATTGTGTAATTGTACATCACAGTGCCATTTAAATGCCTTTCAAGGTTCACAAACTTCCGATGATGAAATGAAAACCTAACTGGGTCAAATGTACGTTATTCTTTCATTCCTTTTTTTACTCTCTAAACGTTAATTTTCAAATATTCACACATGAATGAACGCATCGTTTGTGAAAAACCTGCAATATGTTCTGCGTGGCTGATCGGAAAACTAACTAGCAAGCAGCCCGGAGCAACAGTCTCATTGTTATTCCGTGGATGGGATTAGTCTCAGTGTTGTGCGTAGACGGCTCTGCTAAGATTGTTCCCTAGTTTAGGTTTCATGTTATGTGTTTAGATAGGTTCCTGTTTTATTTTGATAGTCTTGTCTACCCTCATGTGTCTAAAGTATGTTTCATGCCTTGTCTGTTTTCCCACGGTTGTGATTGTCTAATTGTCTTCACCTGGTGTTGTCTGTCTAGTAGCCTATATATAGTTCTCGTCTTCCCCTGTCTCGTTGTCAGATTGTCTTGTGTGTTCCAAGCCTTCCAGCGTAAGATCCTTTTGTCATTGTCCATAGAGTTAGATTAGTGTATTAGTAGTTTTTGTTTTGTTGCTTTATGTATTCAGTGTGTTATGACCTGTCTACATGAAAACACTTTATTTTGATACTTTATTTGTCTCTGCATCGTGCATTTGATTCCACGCCCTTGTACAGCCCTAACAGTACAATCTGGCCAAAACATGGAATTAGCAGATGCAGAACCAGTTAAAACAGCGATACGACTTCAGGGCGAACATCTACACCATCATGAGGCAGGGACCTGGCGGAGCAGCAATATGGACTCCAAGCCTCGGTCAACACCCAAATCAGCGACATGGCAGAGGCGGTGCATCGTGTGCTGGCACGCCTGGACGCCGGTGCCACTGCTCCGGCATTACCTGATGCTGCGGCTCATCCTCAACAGCTGGCAGCCCCTCCTACTACAGCGGCGCCGCTTCCTGGATCTCATGCTGTCCCGTTGCCTGGCTTGGCCCCTCCAGATAAGTTTTTCCGGAGATTCCAATGACTGTAGATCCTTTCTGACTCAGTGTGATCTACACTTTAAGTTAATGCCCTACATATATAGCTCTGATTATGCTCAGATTGTCACGATCTGTCTGTGTTGTTGTTTTGTCTTGTCTTTTTCTATCTTTGGGTTTCCTGTTTTATTTTGTAAAGTGTTCACCCCCGTTTCCTGCCTGTTTGCTTTCTGTCTGTTTCCCTCCCTGATTACCCGATTGTGTTCACCTGGTGCCTCTGTGTTTTCTCCTCCCTCCTCACCTGTGTCTTGTTTGTGTGATTAGTCTTGTGTGTATTTAAGTTCTGGTTTTTCTGTCTGTCTTTGTCGGTTCGTCTTTTGTTGTTGACTGTGGTCACCGGTGAGTGTTCTGTCTGTCCAAGTTCTATTAAAAGTATATCAGTTTAATCTGCATTTGGGTCCTGCTTCCTTCGCTCTACCGTGACAGAACGAACCGGCCAGAAATGGACCCAGCAGATGATCCATTTGAGGTGGAACTACAACATTTTTCCTTTTTTTTGGCTTGCGGCTATGATTGGTGGAAGGGAGCGTCCAGTGTTCGGCAGAGGGAGGCCGCTCTGGTAGAGGCGCACCGGTTGGCTATGGAAAAACCAGACTTGGTGAAGTTCTTACCTGGCTGGATTTTGGACTTCCTCTGGGTGTGTGATTTCCAGCCTGCTGAATACAAACGTCTCTGTGTGTTCCGTCTGGAGTCAACCAGTGCTTCTGCCCCAGTTCCTGCTCCTGTCCAGGAGTCGTTTTCTGGAACTCGTCTGGCTTTTGGAGGTCCACGGAGCCTTCAGGCGGCTTCTAGGAGAAGGAGTCGCAGGTCCAGACTAGCAGCCCGAGCCCCAAGAGCCATGATTCCGGTCCCAGTTCTGGCCCCAGCGGCCATGGTTCTGGCCCCAGCGGCCATGGTTCCAGACCCAGCTCTTGCCCCAGCTGCCATAGTCCCATCTCAAGTCCCTTCTCTAGTCCCTTCCCAAGTCCCTCCTCAGGTCACTTCTCTAGTCCTTTCTCAAGTCATTTCTCAAGTCTCTCCTCTAGTCCCATCTCCAGTTCCTCCTTTAGTCCCTTCCCTAGTCCCTTCTCAAATCCCAACTCTAGTCCCATCTCAAGTTCCCTCTCGAGTCCCCTCTCGAGTTCCCTCTCCAGTCCCTACTGAAGTGCCGTTGGAGGTTCCGGCTTCAGTACCGGCCCACACAGCCATGTTTCCGGCTCCAGAACCGGACCTTACAGCCATGTTTCCGGCTCCAGAACCGGACCTTACAGCCATGTTTCCGGCTTTAGAACCGGACCTTACAGCCATGATTCCGGCTCCAGAGCCGGCCCATTCAGCCATGTTTCCGGCTCCAGAACAGGACCTTACAGCCATGATTCCGGCTCCAGAGCCGGCCCATTCAGCCATGTTTCCGGCTCCAGAACTGGACCTTACAGCCATGTTTCCGGCTCCAGAACCGGACCTTACAGCCATGATTCTGGCTTCAATTCCGACCCCCGCAGCCATGGTTCCGGCCCCAGCAGCCATGGTTCCGGCTTCAGTACCGTCCCCGGAAGCCATGGGCTCGACTCCAGTTTCGGCTACAGGGCTGGCTCCTCAGCCGACGCCAGCTCCCCGAGTCTTGTCGGTGTACCGGCTGACTCCAGCACCTCGTCTTCTGCTGGCTCCCCAGCCGACGCCAGCTCCCCGAGTCTTGTCGGCGTACCGACCGACTCCAGCACCTCGTCTTGTGCTGGCTCCCCAGCCGACGCCAGCTCTTCTTAGATCTTTGAATTTGTTTTGTCTGCTGGAAAGGCAGTGCAGAAGTGAAATATTATATATATATATATCCAGTTTTACCCATCTGGGTCAATGGACCGTAAAGTAATATGAAACCCATTGTAGTCATTGTGTTTTTTTAAATCCTCTCAAAAACACAACAATAATATTTTGTCTCCCTGTTGTCAGCAAATGAGTCCACAAAAGAAGGGGATTTAATAGAAAATTAAACTGGTTGAGCTGATTTTTTGTTGCCGTATTTTCAATTTTTATTTTATTTTGCACTCATGAGTTCTCTGGTGTTCTCGTGTTCACTTGTTCTGTTTGGTTGCTGAGAAAAAATGAGCATGAGTGTGTTCTATTCTATATTGGACAAGACGTGCTGTGCGAAGTTTATCAAACTAATGTCAGAAGTAAAGCATTATCAGTAAGTACGTCAAGAGTTTGGGATGGGCTATACTACAGATTTTGTGTCACGACAAGGCAGACTTTAAAGTGAACTGAAAGGATATTTTTTAGTTTTCAAAATATTTCAGAAGAGGACATTTCTGCCTTCAATAAAGCAAGCCCTCTGTTCAAATATCATGTCTGTTTTTGATGTGTGCTCATAAAAGGCATGCAAGGATGGATCGTAGGTGCATTTAATTAAGTAAAATTATTAAGTACTTGAGTATTATCTTTTCATTCTACCTTAAACTGCAACTCCACAACAAATCAAAGGGAATATATTATATATTGTACTACTTTCACTTATCTAACTAGGTAGTTTACAAATAATATTTTTACATTGAAAAAATAAACAAATTGATTTTGGTACACAGAACCAGCCAAGTCAATCAATCAACAAGCCATGTTCTATGAATTATCAATTAAACATTTATCTAACTAAAGTCAATCATCTGAACTCAGTAAAATTCCAACACAGGAACTATGCGTGTAGTTTTTTCACAGTGTGGTATTAGTATGTTTACTTAAATAAATTATGTGAATTGTTACACCACTAAATGCTTGTCATCGTTTGTTTCAACCAAGACGTTTGCATAACATTTTGTTCTCAATTTCAGGATGTCATTCACAACAGCAGTCAGGTAAGCGTATATGAGCAACATAACAAGTTCTTCAAGATTCCTTCAGTGAGTTATGAAAAGGACTGGTTCTACATGTCCATGTCTAATCTGTTCTCTTTTCTCTGTCAGCATGTGGCCGGGCACCAAACAACCCCAGAATTGTGGGAGGTCAAAATGCGGCTGCAGGAACTTGGCCCTGGGTAGCCAGTTTACAAGTGAATGGCAAGCACCGTTGTGGAGGGTCCCTGATCAGCGATATGTGGGTTCTGACCGCTGCTCACTGCTTCCCACAGTAAGGAATCACCGTTGATCAAGTTTTCTTTTAGATATTTTACAGGGAATTGTTCATTTGTTGCTTCCTAGTTGAGAGCGGGATGAGATAATTGACATAAATCAGTACTCTGGATGCTTAAAGTCCCAAAAATATATTTACCATGTTGATTCTTTGTCTTCAAGTCGCAAAATGAAGGTTGTTCTGGGCCTCGAAAGCATGTCTGGTCCAAACTTGAACAACGTGTCAAAGGCAATTGATAAGATCATAGTCCATCCTGCTTACGGCGACATTTTCAACAAAAACAATAACGACATGGCTCTTCTGAAGCTGTCGAGCCCGGTGACGTTTACCAACTACATCCAGCCGGTGTGCTTGGCCTCTGCAAACAGCACCTTCTACACCGGAGACAACAACTGGGTTGTTGGTTTTGGTACTACATCAAGAGGTAAGGTCACTGACTACAGACACAAGGATGTCTTTTGTCTTTTTTAACACCAATTTTAACTTAATTCTGTAACGTGATAATTTTCACGGAGACTTGGCTCAACTCCGCTATCCCAGACTCCGCCATTGCCCCCGACGGATTTACTATTTTTCGCCAGGATCGGACTGTTAATTCAGAGGGAAGCAAGGGAAGAGGTGTGTGCGTCATGATAAACAATAACTGGTGCACAGACGTGGGGATTATTTCTATGTACTGTTCCCCTCATTTAGAACACCTCATGATCGGATTCCAGGCTTTCCATCTACCAAGATAATTTTCATCAGTTGTGATTACAGCTATGTACATTCCCCCACACGCTGACAACAACACAGCGCTGGACGAACTGTTTAGTGTAATCGACAGTGTAGAGGAAACTTCTGTGTAGCTATGCAGTGGGAGTCACCGACTCAGGAAGGAGACACGGGAAGAGCAGTAGCTTTGATGTCAAACACATGATGGTTTATTTGGAGTTAACGGCCGGAGGATTCACATCACAAGTCCAAGAGTCAGAGGTTCTGACTTCACGGTAGAGTTGCCACGTCAATTCTGAAGAACTCTACCCCAGACCCATGTATTTAGCTAGTTCAGAGAGCATCATCAACATGCTGCATAACAAGATAGAATGATAACACCTCTATCAGCTGACGCCAACAGGCAGGAACAGGGAGACAAAACACTGAGAGCACAGCAGCCAAGGTTACAGGTGCCTGTGCTCAGTCAGGACAGTTTGAACTGATACACTGGGTCAAAGTTATGGGCCTTGGAAAATATTTCCCCAACAGACAGGACGGAGACTTCACGGCCAGAGGCGGCTTTCATTGTGGCTGGGGATTTCAACATCGCCAATATAAAAAGGAAGTCCTGCCAAAGTACTACCAACACATCAGCTGCCCGACGCGCCGCGGAAATACACTGGACCATGTTTATTCCCCTTTTCGACATGAAATGCATCGATGACGTGGTACAGAAGGTTACTGTACGGACATTCCCGAATCAAAAGCCCTGGACCAAGCTGAAAGCGTGCACTATCGTGCGTTGAGGTGGAGATTCAGAGGAGTACAAGAAATCTAGGTATGAACTCCGGAGAGCTATTAGCAGTGCAAAGAGACAATACAGAGACAAAGTGGAGTCTGTATTCATCTAGGCTGTAACATCCAGAACATGTGGGCAGGACAAAGAACAATGACAGATTACAAGGGAGCAGCGGGGGCTACTGCTTGCGCATCTCTCCCAGAGGAGCTGAACGTTTTTGTTTTGCCTATTTGAGAGCAGCCAGGCTGTGGAGGCACAGAAGGATCAGGAGCCCTGCCCTTTTGTTTTAGACAGGGCAGATGTGTGCAAATCCTTTAAAACGGTTAATCCACACAAGGCTCCTGGACCCGATGGCATCCTTGGCCGTGTTCTCAGGGTGTGTGCAGTTCAGTTGGCAGAGGTGTTCACAGACATCTGCAGTCTGTAGTCCCCACATGTTTCAAACACTCCACCATCGTTCCTGTCCCCAAAGGGTCTAAAATCACCAGCCTCAACGACTACCGCCCAGTAGCACTCCCCTCCATCATCATGAAGTGCTTTGAGCGGTTAGTCAAAACATTCATCACCTCCTCCCTCCCTGACTCTCTGGACCCCCTGCAGTTTGCCTACAGAGCAAACAGGTCAACAGACGACGCCATAGCCCTCACCATCCACACTGCCCTCTCACACCTGGACCAGAGGAACACATATGTGAGAATGCTGTTCGTTGACTACAGTTTAGCTTTCAACAACATTGTGCCCTCCAAACTGGTCATCAAGCTTAGAGACCTCGGGCTCAACAGCGCCCTCTGTGACTGGATCCTGAACTTCTTGACAGGCAGACCCCAGGCAGTGCGGGTAGGAAAAAACACATACTCCACCCAGATCCTCAACACCGGAGCCCTTCAAGGCTGCATGCTCAGCCCTCTCCTCTACTCTCTATTCACACACGACTGCGTGGCCACACACAGCTCCAACACCATCGTGAAGTATGCTGACGGCGTGACCGTCCAGATCACCGACGGTGACGAAAAGGCGTAAAGAGAGGTCGAAAACCTGACATCTTGGTGCCTGGATAACAACCTCCATCTCAACTTCAGCAAAACCAAGGAGCTGATTGTGGATTACAGGAAGCAGCAGAGAGAGGGACATGCCCTCATCGCCATCAATGGGACTACGGTAGGGAGAGTCAGCAGCTTCAGGTTCCTCGGTGTCCACATCACTGAGGACCTGACATGGACTCTTCACACTAACACCATCACCAAAACAGCTCGACAGCAGCTCTTCTTCCTCCGCAGGCTGAGGAGGTTCAACATGGACTCCAGCATACTCTGCAACTTCTACAGGTGCACCATAGAGAGTATCCTGACTGGCTGCATCACAGCCTGGTACGGCAGCTGCACCGCCCTCAACCGTAACGGCCCGTCCACACTACAGCTTCAAAAAAAGCTTGGAGCTGGGCGTGTGGGAAGCTCGACCAACAACCAATCACATGAATCTCCCGCCCCTGACACACAAGCAGCGGTTTGATTGGCTAGAGCTTGTACTGGCATATGATTTGATTGGCTGACGCTTCCGAGCTTCAAAAGTTGAACATTGTTCAACTTTTGCAGCCTGAAACGCCAGGAAAGCTCCGCTCTGCTTCCCACAATGCAGTTCGGCGAAAAGTGACGTCACCCCATTCAAAGTGAATGGGCAGACGCGTTGGAAACCGTTTTTGATGCTGTCGAAGCTGTAGTGTGGACGGGCCGTAAGACTTTACAGAGGGTGGTGAAAACTGCACAGCACATCACCAGGACGGAGCTGCCATCCATGGAGGATCTTTACTCCCAGCGGGTCAGCAAGAAAGCCCTGAGGATTACAAAAGACCCCCATCACCCCAGCCACAAACTGTTCTGTCTGCTGCCGTCTGGCAGGCGCTACCGCAGCATCAGGACTAAAACCCCCAGACTCAGGGACAGTTTCATCCCACAGGCCATAAGAATGTTAAACACCTGAACTTTTGAAGAACATACATAACATTCATCTGTTTGCAACTCATATATCAATATTCCAATTACTGTATATAAAATATTCTGCACTGTTATTATATTTTGTTTCTATTATATTCTATTTTATTGTATTTACTTGTACTATTTTAACTGTGTTATTGTGTTGAACTGTTGGAGGAGCCTGTGACCTAAGATGTTCATTGTCATAACTAAAGTGTAGCTATGCACACATAACAATAAAAGCCTTGAAACTTGAATCTTAACGTTTGAACTATCTCTGATTAGGTGGCCCTTATGCCGACACCCTGCAGGAAGTGAGGGTCCCAATCGTGGGAAACAATGAGTGCACATGTGCCTACCACGATCTCACAGACAACATGATCTGTGCTGGGTTAAGAGCTGGAGGGAATGATTCATGTCAGGTAACCAACTTTTTGTGTATTTACTCTATAAATACACTTTCTTCAGAAATGTCTGAAAGACTTTAACCACCTACAAAAACATGCAGGGGACTCGAGCCCCTATAGACTTTTAAGCAATAGAACGTCACTGAGGGAAAAACTTCCAGACTTTGTGTTAAGCTAGGCTAAAAACATCATAGACACAGCCAACAAATAAATACACAGAGTTGAAGCCAAATAAAGTTCTCGTAACTTTCATTCAGACATGGAAAAAGCCAGCTTTCGACATAATGACGATAAAGCTTCATACATTTATTTTAAGGCAGGTCAGACTGAAACAAACAAAGAGCCTTAAAGAGCAACTTGCAGGTTTTAAAAAGAAAATAGATTTATGCTTAACCTTGCCTGAAAATTACAATTAAAAAATGTAATGCAGGATTTTACAAGACATAAGGGCAGGAATTCAGAGGGAAAGGAGCCGTTTTGAGCTCTGCTACTAAAAACTGCTTTTTTTTAACGTCAAACGTGTCATATTACGTCACATGGGGGAGCTACTTTCTCGGACTCGTTCTCTGCCCAATCCGCGGTAGTAGTTTGTAGTTGGTTTGAGCGGTTGTGATTTAGTGAGCTGGTATTTTTTCGGTAATTTTACATTGCATTTCACCATTTGTAATCATGGGTGCGTTGTGCGAGGTGCATCCACCTCCCTGCAGCACATACAGTACTCTCCACAGCTGAAGCCTATCAAACAAAACGTTTATCAGGAAACCGTATTACATCTCTCTCCCCCCTTCGCTCCTCTCTCTCCCCCCTTCGCTCCTCTCTCTCTCTCTCTCTCTCCCCTCCGGTACACAGCACCATAAGACGTAGTGTGGAGTTGCATTAGGTAACGCGAGATACGGCTGATACTTGCGCATTAGTTTCTGTTATGGATCAGTATCAACAGTCCTGCCAGTAACGTTACTATATTATCAATACTACTTTAGTTATAGCCTGATATATGATAGCTAACTTTACAATGTTGTGATGTGACTGACGTTAGCTAACATTAACTGTAGCTAACGCCGGTGTTCCGGATTAACTGGTTTCCCGATCAACTGGTTTACAGAGGTGGGGGGCATGGCCTTTGACTGAAATTCTTTCACACACAGTGACGTCACGAGCTACCCACAATGCAACGCGCACCATATATCTATATAGAAATACGCCATTTCCTGGAGGTGCTAATATCCTGGAGGTGCTAATATAAACAGCTAGGTAATGTGGCCAGGCAGAGCGCACTAGGTTTTTTTTCTGAATTAACGACCGAAGAAATCGCTGCATGTCTTCGGATTACATCTCTGGACTTGAAGGGTGTACTCTAGGTCGTTACCAGCGTAAACTAGAGCTGTGTGGGTTGTCCGATTGCCCTTACAGACTGCCTGCAGATGTATGGAAAAACGGCTCTCGAAAGTGGCCTTCGGTCGATTTTGGCAGCATCTACGTCTATCTTCTAGAAACACCAGGAGTGGAGTGCACCAGCTGGGCGTAAAAAAGTAGGGCTTAACTCTAACGTCGGGCTTAGCTACGTCCGACGTAGTGATTCGAATTTACACCGAGTGCACCAAGCCTGACTAGTCTCGGGCGTAGCTGCGCCTGGTCTTAAGATGCGCGTCCACGTGAATACACGCGAAACAGTAATTGTTGCCAAGCAACGCCATTTTACAGACTCAGAGGACCGCAGAGAAGAGGGAATTCCCACACCCACAGCGTCATCGATGACTCAAGGGGAATCCCAAATGGCCACACCCCGAAAGAGAAAGAGGGATTTGTCAGAGCTACAGCGGGAACTGACGGAGAAAGAAATCGTTCGTGTGGAGGTGGAGACCGTCAAATTGAGAGCGGAACACGAACAAATTGAGCTGGAGAAGGAGAAATTGAGACTCTTCTTAATGCCCTTTCATTGTTAAACATGTAAACAAGACGCCCTGCCATCGTTAATATCCTTCTTGCCTGTTTTACGTTACTATGGATACTAGTCTGTCTTTCCGATTTACGCCTGCTCCGTACTAGGCGTAAAAGTTACACCCGGGCGCAACGCATACAGGGCTTAAGTCTAAGTGGTGCACTAGTCATAACTTTAGTTTGGTCTTAACCTTCGGTTCTACGTCGGACGTAGAGTTACGCCCAGCTTACGCCTAGCTGGTGAATACCCCACTTGTCACAATAATATTATCATGCCAATGCATATATGTGGTATTTTAGAGTTGACTAGATATTGATTAAGGCAATAGACTATGATATTCTGCTTGCACCTCGTGTGAAATGGTGGATACCGGAAGTACGGTGTCGCCCTCGGCCCAAAACCCGTATGTGTGTGTGAAAGAATACACATTTAGATCGCTTCTTCTGTCGTTTACATAAATCTTTTGGTATATTTGGCTCGGTAGGAAGACTTTGATGCATGTACCAGTGTGTGAGGTTGTGGTTATGATGGCGATATCCGGACGCGAACAGACAGCCCCATGTCAACTCGTTTTTATTTTTGTAGTCCTCGCTGTTCGCGTCCGGATATCGCCATCGTAACCACAACCTCACACACTGGTACTGAATGTAGACCAATGTTTTCGTTGTGATCGCTAAATTCACCTTGTTCAAACACTGACCCAGATCGCTGGATCGCTAGAAACACCGCTGTCATCAGGCTGGCAAGGGCTGTTCCATGCTCTGCTCAACCTCCCGGCGGGAGGCTCCCGCCTTCCCCAATGGACTCAGTAGCGCCCCCCGCTGCCGTGGAGCATGTGCCAGCCACGGCGGAATATTACTGCCAAAAGTCACGTGACTTTTGGCAGTAATATTCCGCCGTGAGAAGAAAAAGTTTTGTAGTTGTAAAAACAAGTTTTGTACTTGTAAAACCTATGCTGAATTTGTCTCTGAAACCTGATTTATTAGAAAAATTGTATGTGTTTATTTGATACTATAGATACGTTTTTTCTTTGCAAAACTAAATGCATTAGTTTGTAGATGGTGTTTTGTATTTGCAAACCACATTGTGTTTGTTTGTGAATCATGAGGCATTTGTAAAACCTGTTTAGTTTGTTTGTGGAGTTATGGCAGGAAATTAGCTCCATATTATTTATTCTAATCCTTGGCTGCTCCTGGTCTCTTGAACGCCTAGCAGGCTCATAATTATAATCATATGCATTCGAATATATATTTTCAACCTCTTCTGTGTCAAAACTAGCATTGTGATCCATGTTTATTCATACGTTAGACCGGCCGCTCTCCCCCATGTTACGTCACACGCGGGAGGTCACGTGTAGGGTTGGGAACCGAAACTCGGTTCCAGATGAGAACCGATACGAAAATGCCGGGTACCGGGTACCCATACAAAATACACAATTTCTGCTTAACGGTTCCTAAACGCGGTAGACCCTGTATTCCACCGGGTCCGTCTGCGCCGCGGGTCCGTCTGCGCCGCGGTGACCCGGTGGAATACATAGCGGACTGGCCATCTGTGTGTTCTGGAGAATCACAGAACGGCCGGTCGTCAGCGGGCCGTTGACGGCCGGCTCCGTACGCTGACGGCCCGCACCGCCCTTAATTTTTTTAAACGCCATCATGTAAGTTGTGCTGACAGGCGACAGAGGTCCACAGTTGCCCCGCAGCGAGGCTCCCCCGCCCTCCCGTAGACAGTTCACGAGCTCAGTCACTTCATAACACCACAGATGGGTCGCGGTAAATGCTCTGAAGTAAGGCTCCACTACACTATAAAAGAAAAAGACAAGACACAGTGTAATGCCTGTTAATAGCTTGCCACAGGCATAGCTCAGTTAAAATAAAGCACAGCTATTGTGCATTACATTTGTATTGCATGCAGAGATGGGGTCGTTACTAAAAAAAAGTAATATATTACACTACTTCGTTACTCTCTAGATAAAGTAACTCGTTACTTTACTCGTTACTTTACTCGTTACTTTACTCGCAGGGCCGGCCCGCCCCTACAGGCAGATCACGCAGACTGCGGCGCACCTACAGTGTAAGCACGCCACAGTTTTGCCTCTGTGAGACTCCACTTGCACCCCCAATTACTATTGCATTAAGGAAGACATAACACAAGTCTTTATTTTTATATGCTCTAAAATAGGCTACCAGCCTACCACAACAAACTAACAGTCTGTGAAACGTCAAGACACTAATTAATGAAACCAGTTCAAGACGCATTATTCTTATCATTCTTTATGAGCGCATAACGGTAAGGTATCTAATTACTTATTTATTTAGTATTCCATAACTTAGTAACAGAGATGGTCAAACTAAAGTGGTAGAGACATGGCAGAATTCCTACAATGAAGCGGGGCATTGAACTGTTCACCCGTGAGAGGGCGATCAACAAAAGAGAGCGAGCGCCCCGTTGAGGGAGTTTACAGATGAGAAGACTCATCCATGTTTATGCAGCACTGCACGTGGAGATGTGGTCTCGCAAATCACGCAGATTACATAGGCCTACATGTATATAAACCGATGTAAACATGCGGCGGAAACCCCTCTTGTCTGTCAGTGAGTGTGATTATTTTATAAAAGTAACGAAGTAACGCGTGTCGGGGCAATGTTAGTAACTGTAGTGTGATTACTGAATTATAAAAGTAACGCGTTACACTACTCCGTTACCGACATAAGTAATATTATTACAGTAACGCGTTACACCCAACTCTGATTGCATGTATATTTTTTTATTTGTAAAAATGTCAGTTAAAGCTTAAAAGAATAAAGATATTTTTGTTATCTAAACGTTTGACCTCTTTCTTTTACAATTTTGGAATCGATAAGCAGAACCGGAATCGGAATTGATAAATTTCAAACGATACCCATCACGTGGGGAGGCTTTTTTTATGCGGAAGTAAAAATGTCTTACAAAAACGACGCCAGATGTCACTGTAGTGTATATTTCTGTATATTTTTTAGAAAATCTAATGTATACATCATTTTCCTACACATTTATTCACTGGTGTGTCTAACCTGCAAGTTGCTCTTTAAGGGAATCATGCTTTCATATAACCTCAACCATCAATTTATTTCTACAGGGAGACTCAGGTGGACCAATGATGATCAAAAAGGGTTCAGTCTGGATCCAGAGTGGCGTCGTGAGTTTTGGAAAAGGCTGTGCCTTGCCGAAGTTTCCTGGAGTTTACGCCCGTGTGTCCCGGTTCGAAGACTGGATCAAAAATCACACTGGCTCTAGCAAACCAGGCTTTGTTGACTACATGTCCTCAGGAGTTGATAGCGACTTAAACTTTGTCTGTCAACCAATCCCTACCCCCACCCAACACCCCTCTCCCACCACCCAACACCCCTCTCCCACCACCCAACACCCCTCTCCCACCACCCAACACCCCTATCCCACCACCTAACACCCCTATCCTACCACCCAACACCCCCATACCACCACCCAACACCCCTATCCCACCAACCAACACCCCTATCCTACCACCCAACACCCCTATCCCACCACCAAACACCCCCATACCACCATCCAACACCCCTATCCCACCACCCCTATCCCACCACCAAACCAAAATGGAGATGTTGAAGTAAGACAAGTTTAGGGTTTCTGTGCCCAAATGGCTCATTCACTTGATTTGATATGAGCCCTCATTGATTGATCTACTTCTGTGCCTTTAATTTAAGTGTAAAGCTAATCTTCATTCAATTTCTGGTGGAAAGGCAATCATTTTATAACATAAATGCAAACGAGTGGATTGATGTAAAGTTTGGGGAAAAGATCAATGACGTTGCATTCTCCTGTAAAGAAATGTTTTTCCAGATATAACGTAATAAAAACAAAATAAATTAGATTCTTTCTGTAAACATTTTTTTTCCTTTTCTCGGGTCAACAGGCCTATGAAAATTAAAAGAGTTTGGGTTGATGAGACCTTTGAGAATGAAGCAAACAGTAAAGTTTTGGGATACCAAAACAGTGCGCTGAAAGACACTAAAAAGCTAGTGCTAACTCTTTCCGGGTTCATTCCTTTAAGAACATTCTTTAACATAACGCCTACTCATTTGACCAATGGTTTGAGAAAAAAAATAACTACTGTGGCTCAAAACTTATATCTGTCAAGAGCTTTGTAAGACAAAATATATATATAAATGTATTTTATAATAAGAACTACAACTACTGCATAAACCTGAAACAGGAAGCTCTGGTTCCTTTTCCACAGAGCATATACGGGTCAGATGTAAAAAAAGGTAACACTATTGAATATGTGTTGGGTCAATCTTCAATACTTTGGAGTGTCCTTTTTAATGCTTTCTTAAATAATAGGTCTCTTTTGTAAGGGTGTACCGGTACTTAAAAACACATAATTGTGTCATTTTGTTCACTATAGTTCAAAGACAAAAATGAGACTCCAAGACAGAAACTGCAATATTTCTCACACCCTTTTGAAAAGTTTTCGGGGCCATGAGAAGAAAGAAGAGGTCGCTCTGACTCTTAAGACGCATTTAACAAAAGCCCATTGAAATGTGGTCACTCTTACTGAGGCAGTAAAACAGCAGATGTTTTTTGATCACACAAAGAAAAGGATCGATGATGGAGAACGACAGCCAGACACTGCGAGTCAGTCCTTGTCCAGAACTTTTTAACAACTTTTACTATTCTATGGGCATAGATTTGTGAACATAAAAATAATTTGTGCGTAAATATATGATTTGTAAATGTAAAACACCATACACAAATGCATTTAAAAGATTTGCAAATGTAAAACGGATCTGCAAATACGCTAAATATTTGCACAAAATAAAAAAAGATCTGTGAATATCTCTTTACCTTTAACAACTTTCGATCAGGCATTTGTGAATCCATTTTGTATTTGTCAACCAAAAATGCGCTTGTGGATCTCAGATCTCTGCTTGTCAGGGGCGGATCTACGGGGGGCTAGGGGGGCATTAGCCCCCCCACTGTAGAGCCTTGCCCCCCCAGCTGCCCCCCTAACTTTTGTTTCCCTAAAACTGTACTAAAACAAACCTACACTATTTCCACAAGCTTCTCAAGCAACAAAACAAGCATTACATTAGTTAAAAGTGAATCATTTTAAATATAATTTTAGGCCCGTTTCCCCTTCCACTAGTTTTGTTTTTACTAAGGACGAGAGCTTGAAACTAAATATTAATAAAACGCTGCCGTTTGAATCGATAGCGTTTAACAGACGGGCGCTGTTTGGGGCGTTACGTTACAAAATACTATGCAGACAGCGTTAGCTGGGAGATTGATCACTTTGCTAAACTACGCGGTAGCCTACTATTAAATCCACGTAAACTACACATCACAGCAATGAAGCCAGATCAATGAAACCAGGATACATCCTTTACTGTAAAAACTGGATCCAAAAACAGCTGCCTGTGTGCGCTTGATAAATACTTTCTGATGTTATATGATATGCTACATATCAGCTAGGCTACATGGCCCTAACGCGTAAAGTTATACAAGCATTTGTACCAGTGCTTTTCACAAGTAGACTCTTGCAGGCCAGAGTATAGGAGTGATTGAACAACAACACAAAGACATATGAGAAGTGATCAGGACGAACAGAAAGAGGAAAAGGAAAAGAGAGTTCACTGAAGAGACCAGGAGGGTCAGAGCAGGAGGAAGAGGAGGAGATGAAGAGACCAGGAAGGTCAGAGCAGGAGGAGGAGATGAAGACATTAGTGAAGAAGAAGAAATGTATATGAGGAATAAAGATGAAGTGTCAGAAAGAGGGCCAGAGGCAGGGATCAGGAGGCAGATGAAACTCCAGCTGGACCACATGGTATGTTCTTATTCTCCTTACATATTCCATTACAGCAGCACAATCTAGCAGCTCTTAGTATTGACAAATATTGATTGAAATGTGTTGCTGCACAGGTCACCTGTAGCTCTCTGAAGAGATGGGTGATGTCATTTGTGTACTTAATTATAAGTTGAAATGTTGAGTTTGTCAATCTTAATCTGAAAATACAAAAACTGAAATATAGGTAAGAGAAGAAACTGACACTTTTGTGATGTAATTCCCTCAATGCAGATCACACATGGACTGATCCATTATTTTAATAGGAGGGTAAATGGTATGGCGTGACGGGGTTGAAACAAACTGAGGGACAATATTGCAATTTCATAGATAATTCAAGTATTTTTTCACAATTTATTTTTGATCAGTTAAAGTTGACAAGCATATGATTATATTAGCAGAAACATTTTGGGATAATTGGCCATTTTGATTGGTTTGATATTAAATGAATATGTAATAATGCAAATATGTCTGTCTAATACTAAGAAAACCAATTTTTTTAAAACAAAATATATATTTAATTTTACATTGTAATGCAAAAAAAAAACCTGTTCCATTAATTCATTGCTTTAAAATACATTTTGTAGTTTCCTTTCATTTAAAATGGTTGAGGTAAGCTTGGGGGACTCAAAGGGCACCCGATTGTTTGTCTGAACACCTTGTTTCTCTTGTGCATTAAGAACACTTGTGTTAGGGCATGAATTAACAATAAATAGGTTATATACAGTATAGCATACCACGTACTGTCCGCCCTCCCATGCCACCCTGGCATGACCTCTTGCCCCCCCTTTGCCACCCCATGTAAAATGTTCTAGAACCGCCACTGCTGCTTGTGGAGGGTCTTTTTACACACACAGAGTTTTGAGACAAACTTTCCGCCGGTCTCGGCTAAAATCTACTCGTGTCAGTCGGTTATTTTCGGAAACCACGTGATGGCCTGCTGATGACGACATTTCCGCATGATTTCAAAGTAAGAGAATGATGGTTTGTTCTATCCACTGTTTTTGTATTATAATGAACAGTGGGACGTTAGATGCATTCTTTATCACCATCATGTTACAGTGATAGTTAGTTTGTGTTGTGTTCAATACAGCATATATCGAGCAATTTCGTATGCATTGATGTTGAAGTACAGGCTACAGGTAGTGCTGCGTACCGGTACGCCGAACCGGTACTGGACTTGTAAAAAGTTTCGGTTCAAGTCCGGAACGTCGGGAACCGGTACTTGGACTCGCAAACAAACTAGCACTTACGTATATTCTCCTTTTTGTTCTAAACCATCTAAAACCTTCCATAGATCGAGACATTTGCGCTGAGAAAAGACGAAAAACATCGTGTCGGCTTCTGATATGGCGGCCATACTGAACTCACAAAGTCTCGCAAAATATCGCAACTGCTCGCGAGATCTCTGTGACGTCAAGGGAAGCTAGCGATGTGATTGGCTTAGACATAGTGTCTTGAGTCTTGACAGTCCACAGTCTCCTCACTGTCCGAGTGACATAGATGATAGATGCTTAACCTCTTAAGCCCCAAGCCTGTTTTTCAGGTTTCGGGCTCGAAAATGACATGCCCAAAACAAAGGACTATAACTTAACTTCTAAAAGGGTTATATGAATAATTTATTTTATCAAAGCAAGGTCCCATCTGTGAGTTGGATGTAGAAGTTTCAGAATCAATAAAGATGTTTCAGTGTCAGAGTAAATCCAGATGGAACATAGTCAAAAAGTGTAAATTCTTGTCTCCGCCCAAATAAAACCCATTACTTATAGTGAAAACCACCCTTGAATGATGGGTTAGTAGCCTCAAAGCTTTAGGAATCCAAAGTATAACATACCCTGTATCAAGATTGAGGCAAAACAAGTGAAAAAAAACAACCTTTTTAGAGAGATTTAGCAAAAAAAAGTCCAAGCGGACTAAGCTTTGGGCACATTTGATTCCATCAGTGCCATTTAACCTTTTTCAGGTACCAAACTGTAAAAATCATTGTATAACATTTATTTATCACTATAGGTATTCATTCCATACATTTTGTTTTTTTTTAAATAGTAAAACAAAATTAAGGGTGTGTATGGGTGTGTGGTGAGTGTGTGGGAAGTTCCCTCTTTGCATGAGATGCATGTTACTTGCACAATAAAAATTAGGAAACTTAGAAAACATTTGACTCCAACTGGAGCAGATTTATTTAAAAAAATTAGCAACACACTATACAACAAGCATTTTTTGGGTAAAAAAAATAAACTTTATACAAACCCTGAATGTTACAGTATTACTCCAGTAAGTCATGCCATTCCCTGTAACAGTTATTTTTGGTAGTGAAGCACAGAGGGACCTGACACTTCCTGCAGTACACAGGTGTCTTCACCCTTCTGTTGCCAGCATCAGAGCACCTCCTGCAGTACCTCCTGACCTTGGTGGCATCTTCCCCATAATACTCGGGCATCCAGAAGCCATATCATCATCGCCTTCCTCACTGTGAAAACAAATGTGGAAAAAACAAATAGATTAATTCTCTGGCTTGTACTTTCAAAAATGTAACTCAAATCAGAAATAATTTCTCTACAACAACAGCAGAACATCAATTTTGA